GCGGGGGGGGAGAAGCGACGTATGGGGGGACAGAAACAGAACTGGCCGAAGTGTGTGCTCGACGACCTGAAGGCATTCGGGGCCGACCACGGATCCACGAAAACCGATCCACGTTGTCTCGGAATCCCGGTACCGAAAGACACGGTACCGAAGTTAAAGTGGACGGCAGCCGCAAAGGTGGAGGGGGGAGTACCCTGGCATGCGGCGGTGCTGCAGGCAGCTGAGAGGTTCGTGACCTCCTGGCACGAGAAGGAAGAAGGGGCCAGCCGACAACGGGCGCTCAAACGAAACTACAGCCCACCAACCAATGGGGCGGGAGGGGGGCAGGAGACGGACGAGACGGCGAGGGAAGAAAGCAAACGAGAAGAGACGGACCGAGTGGCGCGATACGTGCCGGATTGAATTTCTTTTGGCCACTTCCCCCCTCCCAACGCTGCACCATTGACCAACCCCCCACTAGTGATGACGTACCATAACAACGTATCGCTGGTTGGTGGCCATGTTTGCGTGTTTGCTTGTTCATTAGTGGTCTCTCCATCGTGTGCCTTTTTCTGTCTCTTGTTTCTTGTTATTTTCGGCCTGGTCCCTTTTTGTCCTCGCTCTTTTTCATTTTATTTTCTCTTTCCTTACCGTTTCCCTATATTTTTTCTCTGTTTTCTCTGTTTTCTTTTGTTTATCTCTTTTTCTGTGCCAGATGGCCTTGTCTCGGCTTGCGTTATGAAGTACCAACATTGAACCAAGGGGGTGTACTTTTTCTCTCCGGCCCGTGATGGTGACTCCTAGTCTCAGTTGTTACCTCGCATAGCGCGCAGAGGGGGTGGAGGACTCCAGAATATCTGGCGTTGATTTCTATTGACTTGCGGACCCCTCGGGGCCAGTTTGTTTGAGTGTACCTTTTTAGGGTAAAATAACCTGTGACCACGGGAATCGACCGCGTCGAGTGTTGTATCAGTACGGACATACGAAGGTCCTGGGTAGAGATAGATCGGAACGGTTTATGTGAAGACAACAACAGCAACAACAACAACAACAACAACAACAACAACAACAACAACAACAACAACAACAATAACAATTACACGGGAGCGTAGGTGCAGGGACGTCTGTACATGATCGGTGAGTCGAGAGTTTCCACAGTCGCGTAAAGCCGAATGTCGTTTGCCCGGGAGTTATTATGTTCGACAGTAAACGGTGACAGGTGAGACAGAAAACGTTGACAGCAGTGCCGCCATCCACCTTACGTAGTATGTTGCGATTGGTAGATTGGTGAGACACCGGGGAGCTCTGCGTTGGATGTAACACCAGAAAGCAAACATCACCCTCCCGATTGCCGGCACCCAAATATGAGGACATGCGATGAGAAGGGCTTCTTTGTCATCGTTTCTCAATGCTGCTATGTATTACGACATCGTCAAACACCAGCGTTGTGGCGTTTGGCTGGCGGTCAACCAGGGTCGACGTCAGATGCCAGACAACCTCGAGCTCGACAACCAAAGTGCGGTGGAATGCGGTGGAACATCAACACTCGAGTACTCGAGCTCAAGTCTTGCAATGCTTGATGTTCCGATTCGACTGCCAAAAAAACAGTGCAACGTTAACGTTGGTACGTTGGTCGGTGCTGGCCGTGGACTCGTGCATCACCGATGCAACTGCACACGCCAACGTCGCACTTGATGCTTGAGTGGGCATGCCGAATACTGCTGATGGGTGCTGGGTTAGCGTCGCATATATATTTCGCTACTTCGGCTGTGGGTCGTTCGCCGAAGGAGAGAGAGACGTCAGTCAAGCAGGTTGGACTGATTGTCTGCAGGTCTAAACTGAAGAGACACGAAGCAAGGCAGACAACAAGGCCATTGGTTGCCTCTTGAGGTTTGGAAAGATCTTGGAAGGCACACATACGCACACGCACACGGGTACACCTTGCTCGCCGAGCTCGTCAGCCGCCAAAGCTCGTCCCTCTCGGCCAGAACGAAGAGCAGCAGATACAGGACCACGCACGCGTCCTTTCCCCCGTTGAACGATATCGCAAGACCCCTGCCCGTTTCGCCGCCGAAGTCGTTGAGGGCACGCCGCACCACGTCGAGGCTTTGTGAAAGTTTCAGCTCAAAGTCTCCGGTGGCAGCGGTGTAAGTCTTGTCGAGAGCGTGGAGGAGGCGAGACCGGTTGTCGTCGATTTGGTCGTTCTTCTCCTCTTGTTGAATTGTCTCCCTCGCAACAGAGCCATCCGATCGTGTGCCATCAAGCATGCTGCTGCTACTCTTCGGTCGACCAGTGCGGAGTGGTAGAGTGGCGTACAATCGCTACACGGCGAAGGGTCGGTTTCAATGAAGATGCAGCGGAAGCAGGGCTCCGCCAAAACGCGATACTGGAACACATGTTCGTGGACACGCCTCCCAACTCCGAAAAAAAAAAAACGATCGGAAGACATCAATAATTCTGAAACTCAACGGCAAACAAAGATCTCTCTGCAAACAAGACCACGACTAACTGCTGTATTACAGAGGGCGATCCCCCATTCCCTCCACCAATTTCCGCTTGATAACTATCTTGTCTTTGTCCCGTATCCAGACTCTACCAGTCCGTATTCAGATGTAGCCGAGATCAGAGGCTGTTGATCGGTAGATGATCATGCCTCACAACAAGTAATGAGTGCAACAATGAATAAGGAAGTGGCGACGTCGAACCCGCCTTTTGAATCTGTCACCCCGGTGGTCCAGTGGGTAACTTCGCAGCCTGCTAAGGGCCAGGTCATGGGTTCGAGTCCCGGCAGAGTGAGTTTTTGTCTCACTAAATAAATCCTGGTCTAGGATGAAAGCGACGCGCTGCAAAGCTCGTTGTTAAGGGATTGCTGTACCCTTGTCGCGATAAAAATATCTCAGGCATGAACCGCAGGAGGGGGTCCAGCCCCCCCCTCCTATGTGACCCCGGTTGGGTCGTCTAGCTGGTAGAAGTGGAGGATAGGGGCCAGAGGGGCAGACTACAGAGTCCAATGATGGGAGAAAAAAAAAAAAAAATCTTATGACCCCATGCTCGTCGGTGGCCTTGAATTACGGTCCCAACCTTGACCTCTCCAAACGAGAAAGAAAATTTATGCGAGTTAATCCTCACAGGGTACTTCTTATGTGTAATATCTGATCAGATTATTTTTGATCAAGAACCATTTTTTCCAAGTTTTCTGATCAACTCGGGCGATCAGAAACCCAGATCATTTTTTTTCGATCAAAAAAGGCGCAAAAATGACACATAAGAAGCCGGATGTGACACCTAGATCATTATTGATCAAAAATAATCTGGCGAAAATGACACATAATAACTAGCCTCAAGGGAAACAAAAAAAAAGAATGGTGATGAGTATGAGAGGGTGAGGATGTGAGGATTCGGTGGGCTCGGAGTAGACCCCGGTCCCCCATGTTTATTGTGACCTACGAAGCGACCATATATATATATATATATATATGATGAATATATGGTGCAGTTTAGACTATGCCAGAGGCCCCGCCAGTCTACCAAGTAGGTGATGTAGGTCTACCAAGTAGGTATTGTAGCGACGATGGCAGAAAATAGGATAGACATCCGACCATTATCCCGCCAGATATTGCTAGAACGTCGGAGGTGTGTGGCGACGAAAGGAAGGAGCTCCTGACATTGAGAGATGACACACAATGTTTTTTGGCATTGCCTATTCTTATCTCCTTCCATTGAGAACTTCGAAGTTATTTCTCGTCAAATATAAGAATTGGACAATGTCGAAGAGTTTTCACGCTCATCCATCATGTCGAACGGCGACCACGCTCTTTCGCACGCACTCTTTTTCCCGACCTTAGCTACATGAAGAGTACTCAACCAAACATACATGAGGAAAGCAGTACCCGAAGCTCAGCTAAAAGGAAACAGGTGCACTTTCCGTGAAATGTGTAAATGTACATGGTTTAGGACGAAGCTAGACTACTACGATGTAAAACACCGTCGGTGCAAACTTCCCTCTATTCCCCCCCACACGATTTTCATCCGCGGGTAAATCGGTTTTCACCGATGCCCGCGATGTTGTACGCCAGCACTCCGAAAAAGGTCACCACTGTGCCGCCCAGCTGCCAGACGGTCATCGCCTTTCCCAGGACAAATAGCTCCGCCGTGAACACGAGCATTCGCTTGCAGGAGCTGCCTATGGCATGGTCAATAAGGCTGAGGCGGGCCAAAAGGTTGAACGAGGCCAGGTTACAACCGACGATGCAGAGAGCGGCGTTCACGCCGTCCATTCGCAGCCAGCTAGTGGAGAACTCGTGGTTGCTGCTGTTTTCGTCACCACCACCACCACTCTCGATTATTCTTAACGTACTGTCTGGACCTGTCCTCTGTAGAAGGTCCATTCTCCTGGACATCATCCTTACCAGCATGATTCCGACACCGACGACCGTCGCAGCTACACTGCAGGCGAGGAGAGTCTGGTGGGGTGGAGGAACTGGGCTACCTTTGATAGCGGCGTTTCGCAGGGCGCTGAAACACGCGGCCGTCATGGTGAGGACAGCCAGGGAATTTGAACAGCTGCTACCGCTACTGCCGCCGCCGCCATGGTCATTCTTCCACTCGAACACCAGAAAAAGTGCGCCTGCCACGATCGTCGTGAGCGCGGCCAATCGAAGACCGGAGCAAGTCTTGCCGAGCAGCAGGTATGATAAGACCGTAGCGGTGACAGGCTCTGTCGCCGCACTCAGGGCGTTCGTCGCATCAACTCCGCCAACGAGGACGGCGCCGTTGGTCAGCAGCGTCTGCCCAACGTGCAAAAGGGCCGCCAATCTGGTCTGGCGCTCGGCTACGCATCCAACCTGACAGTTTGCGGCCGGGGTCAAGCCTAGTCCTGGACTGAAGCCCAGCCCCGCGACGAATCCAAGTAATAGCAAGATCGTAACGCCGGTCGCTCCCTGCAAAGTGAGGAGCCCGACCGGGTCGTGAGTGTGGCTAAGGTATGTCATGCAGTACCCGCTGAAGCCCACGGCCAGAAACATCCATATCGTGAAGTTGAGCACAAGGAAGATCACGGAAGACGTGGCGTCAACAGTCGACCTCACTGGGCTCGGCAGTGTCCATTCAGATACGACGCTCACTTCGGAATCACTGCTGGTGCACGAGCCGAGTTCCATGTCGATGCTGTCCTGTCCAACAAAACCTGCGTTTGCTGTCACGAGCGTGCCGTGACATTGCCGTCCAGGAAGACCTCTTGACGGCAGCAAGACTAACCCTACAATAAGTAGGATGAAGAGCACCACAGCGATGAAGTCATCTTTGAACAGCTTGACCGACGAGGTTCCTCCCGTGGCCTCGGCCACTGACGATCTTCTGATCGTCAGCATCGGCGTTGACACACTTTCGCCGGTGACAGTGACCACTCCTAGCCCGGATGCAGCCCCCGAGGTCGAAATCCGCTGCCCTGCTTCACGTACGAGATCGTGATCCGCGGGTTCTTCACTCGTACCAGATAACGTGTCGGAGACTTTAGTCCCGGCGCCAGCCGACGCTGGCTCAACGCGTCCACGATGATGTGACATCAGTACTTGACTCTGCGAAACCTCCATTTCCTCTCGAACTGTCGGTCTTGCGACAGAGTAAAAGGCTCGCTTCGATGCATGTGGCTTCGAGCGAGAAACGGCTGCCAGTGAAGGAAGACCTGGTTTCACTGCGGTATCGACTGTCGGGCTGTTCTCAGGCATCACACCGAGCCTCGCACTCTCGTCGTCGGTCTCATCAGCTGACGACAGCATGCTCAAGAAAACGAGACGCTCCACCGCTCGTGATGCCGATAATGCCTTCGCCGCCTTGATTGATGTCCCAGTTGCCGTGGCCAAGGCCTCTTGGGTTTGCCGTTTGTCGTCTTGATTATCGTCTTCCTGTTGCTCCTGCTCCTGCACGCCAACAATGTCGAAGAGTACGTGGCGCGTCTGGCGCCGAACGTCTTCCGAAATCGCCGACAGCCGAGCGTGAATTAAAGCGCGACGGTTTTGGTCGGCGTAGGCCCTCCGTACCGTCTCCACCTGCAGATCCACGGCCTCCCGAGTGAGTCTCTCGTCGATGGCGATAGAGTGTTCGGGCAGGTGCATGATGTCGACCATGAGTTCGCGAGCCTCGTCGCTGCGGACCTTGCTCCCAAAGCCGCCGAAGTTAGGAACTCCCATATGGAGGCCAAGGAGAGCCCCATCAAGTCGGGTCGAGACGATCGCACGGCAGGAGCACAAACGTCCCATGAATTCCGTCGGGTCGAGGATTCGCAGGATTTCGCCGGGGTAGTCCTGCTCCTCGGTCGCTCTCTGGTGTTCCTGGAACACGTTGATGAAAACTTCCCCACGTCTTACCACTTGGCCCAGTAGCTTTTGATGCATCCCCACATTGGTATGCGTGCTCGAAGCTGGTAGGACGAAGCAAAGCGGCTGCTGGTGCTCACCTGAAAATTCCAAGCATACGGGAGTAGGAGAGGACACTGTTAGATCATGATGAGATCTACGTGTAGCCTTTTACGAAGAATTTGCTTGTTGGTGAGAGGGGGCTTGTTGCACTGGCGGTCTTCGACACTAGATATCTCGTCATGTGTGCCAGTGCATCGAAGGGTCGTTCGGCCATATGAACGAATGATGACTCGCAGGCACACAGAGTAGACGACACAGGTAGTGGGAAACGTAAACAAGATTCTTGACCAACTTTGATGCTCAAGACGCAGAATTGTCCCACGTGCAGTTCTCCCCTGAATACCATAAGTCACAACGTTGATGTAGACGCCTGTTTCGCACACGTGGTCCGGAACTTTGAGCAAGAGTCCTTCATTTCCAAGCAGATCAACCTTACTTCGACTTTTCCCGCCAAGTAGTACCACGAGCGGTTCTCCCAATGAATCAAGGGCACAACAGGAGGCTCCCCAATGAACCACGGGTTGATCGCACGATGACGAACCTTCGCTCTGCTTCCAGCTCGTGCCCTCCGTGTCGGTCAACATCTCGTCAATTAGGACCGGGTCCCTGTCTACAGCGATATCGCCTGGCCGTACGAGTGCCTCCCCGCGCCGCAGCATGCTGGACAGGACCCTCGAGGCCGCATACCTTCCGGGCTCAAACACGGCCTTGTGGAGAAGGACACTGCTGCGTGGCTTCGCCTCAGAGCTGGGAGTGATGGAACGCAAGGTGCGGCCAGCTTGGAGCAGGGTGGCATTTGAAATCCACGATCCTTAGGTACAACGTGTATGTGCTACGGTGCCTGGCTCCTACCGGATCTCGCAAGAAATCCCGTAAATAGAATCGTTGGTGAAGCTTCGTTTCACCCCCATTGTGGTAGTGCACTGGACTTCATGCCATGTATGGAACACATACGTACGGCTGTACTTGTAGCATCGAATCCTTCGAGATTCCTGATGAACCGCATTTGTGTATAATGATCGCCGTACCTGGAAGCGCTCATCATGACGACGATCGGTAGCGTTAGACATTCCAAGAGTGTGTTGACCTCCGCGGGAGCGTGCCTGAGCTTGGCGTTGTTGAAGATGCCGCCATCTCCGACCACGAGGGCCTTGAACTTGTTCAACTGTTCACGGAAGGAGTGGGGCAAATCAGTTCGCATCACCTCGTGTACGTGTTGATGTTGTGCTCTTCATGTGATCATGTTGGAGAGACATCTACCCTGAGCCCGCTCGGACTTGGTGGAGGGTTCGACAGCACATAATACGTAGGTTGAGATCGGGTACCATGGCGAGAATCTGCCCGTTTGAGAGGCTGTCTCAGGCGTGGCCAAGCGAGGCTGTAGACCATGCTCGCATGAACGTACGAAGGCCTTCTCACCTCGTCCAAGTGGTCAACCGTGAAGGAAATCGAATGCGAGTTGTCGCCATCGTAAAGTTTTGCAATGGATTGCCCTTGCACAGCGCGATTCTCGTCCCAAAGTAGGGCGTGCCAAAAACATTGGCTTGGTGGCGCGACAGAAGCAAGGAGATGCTCCATGGACGCCGTCTGAACCCTTTCACCCATTTTGCCTGCGAAGGGAGAGTGGATGTTGCAGAGAACATGGCTGGGCGGTCTGTTGCAATTTTACGAATGGTAACTATATTCTTGCCTCGGCTCGGTATGCGTAAGGGCGACATAGCTGTACACTGTGCCCCTCCTTCTACAACTAGGCGTGGCTTGGCGGTGCCGTCCTGATGGTATCGGGCGTAGCACCGTCGAAAGACACGGATGTTCCGCCTGTAAGCGCCGAAGCTGCGTGGCGGAGAGCGCGAGTGAACAAGAAATCGCCACAGCTAAGCATATGTGACAACCGTTTCAGGAACGGAGAGAGGATTACCTGCCTGTGACGTCACAACGGTTGAAACTTGCGCCCACAGGTACATCAAGCTTGAGTCAGGAAAGGGGTTGCAAGAGATGAAAGAGAAGCAAATAAGTGAGCTCGACAAGCCTAAAGCAGGTGACAACTAAAAGGTTGGTGGCACCGGGCACGTAACGTACGGCAAGGCCGAAACTGTCAAACACTTCGTCGCTGCATACAGACGCCAACCGCTCAAAAATGTCTTCCCTAGTCTGTCTTTCCTACCGATATCCCTTCCCGCCTTTCCAAACCGCTTCCTATGCCCCACTACAGTTACCGTCCTTTCCTCTCTATCCCATGCCTCAAACATCTCCCTGTACGTCCCTTCTATTATTCCCAGCTCAGTCATGTACACTTCCCTCTCCTTCTTGCACCACTGACATTCCGCCACTACACGAACACGGTCTTCGCATTCGAAGCCGCAATCACATTTGAACTCGTCGTCTTCGTCGTCTACCGTCCTACGTCTTCGTCGACGTTCTCGAAGGCCTATGTCCTCGGTCCTGAATTTCACCTTAAGCTTTGTCCTTGCATCCATTGGTCCATGTAGGTAATCCTTGAACCCTCTTCCTTCTTTCAACATTCCTTACACTTCTAGACCCTCCTTATCCTCGGTTTCTTTACTTAGATTCTGTTCTCTCTCGGCACAAGCAACAGACATCTTCTCCTTGAACCCCTGTAGACCCTCCGTGTCCAGCGTTTCGTCGTGACTTGCGCGAGACCGACAGGATGCGTCGACGTCATACGTAGGATACGGGTGATCTCGAAGCTGAGGATGGGAGAAGCTAATTTTGTTCGGCAGCACGGTAAATGAACAGAGGATTTGCGGCCGATAAACATCATCGCTGTTGTCCCATGCGCATGGGAAGGGCGTACCCAAGTTTTAGGGAGATCGCAATGTCATCGTTACGGTGCAGCAGGTGGAAGTGACGGAGGACGCCGCTGTGATTCCGGGGGCCAAAAAATAAACTACGGTGTATATAAGGAACACACAGACTAATTCCCAAGCATTTTACCATACTCTGATGTAGGTGGGTCGAATGAACAGCCGCGGCTGAAAAAATGGGGCGACAATCCGGGTCAAAGAATAATCAGGACCCAAATGGGAGCTGCGGATTAGATGAGGTTTCTCTGGAGCGGGACACAACAAACATTACCATTTGTGAGGTGTTGCTGGATAGAATGATGGGTTCTGAGCTTTATACGAGGGGATAGGTTGCGAGAACCAAGTATCTGTGCTACAAAAGAACGCCCGCTTCCACTGAGGACAAAAACCACACGGCTAAACGTAGGTGGGGTGGACCGAAACTGGATTGTGCCCGTTGGAATGGGAGGGCATCGTCCTTGCTGATTGTGTGAGTGCCCCAAGGTTTCAACAGATTTTTCCTTTATTGGGGATCGTAAAGGATATTGCTTGGTGCAGTTTACTTTCGTCATACGTGGAAACAAGCCTTATCTTGGAGGCGGCGCGTATCTTTGTCGTCCTGCGTCCTGGCAGTTTCTCATTGCCGGTGACAGGTCCAAGTGGGAGAACCGCGAGTCGACAAAAGCTCACGTCATCGTAAGCTCAACGGGGATCGTTCTATTCTACAACAGAGCGTGAAGTGAACATGTTCATGCTCACGCATCAATCCGTGCAATATGATTGGGGACGCGCGTGATTAGCGATCATTGTCTATACAAGTAGTCTAGAGGTCGCCTAGGGAAAAATGACAAATGTCTACGTAGTTTAAACGAGAGATCAACCTCCCTCGTATTTTGTCGTTTGAAACGCAACGCATCACATGATGTGTGTATTCCTTCGTATAATCTAAATGTATATATGCAATAACGAATACGCCGATGAATGGCGACGTTTTGTTGTGGTAGAGCCTCCAGTAGGCTGGAGAACATTGACCTGGTCTGCCGACAATAGTCAACGCAATAGTTTTCGTGCCCTGCCTAATCATCGACATTGTCTTCGCACTTACCTCTGTGTACCACCCCGAATAGCAATATGCACTTTCCCACGTCTGGTCGATCGCTACCATCGTCCACAATGCCGGCAACTTGACCGTGAGGGCGAAGAGTTTTCTCACCACTGCCGTGCCCATGGGCAACAGTGGACTCGGCGGCGAGTTTCCCCAAAAGCTCCCTCTCGAAACTTACATCTGATGATGATCGCGAAACCATAGCTGAAGTTGGAGTTGGGATACAACAAAGCACCAGCACGAGGACAGGGCACAGCTGCAAGCAGACAGAGGGTATCATCTCTTCATCGAGTGGGTAATCCCCAGTTTTCTCTGCTTGTGGCGGTGAAGCACCTGGCCTCGTTGTCTGCTGTTTGCTCCTGTGAAGACAGCAAGAAGTTGGTCGTCGGTCTTCCGAGAGTCAGGTAGCTTCTAGCCAAACTTGAGCGTTACTCGAGCAAGGTGGAGCTGCTACGATGCTTCGAGATGTAGTACGTAGTGCTTCGTAGTAGCATCTTTGCGCCCCCCCATACCTAGGGCGTGCTTTGTGCTTTGGTATGGTTCAACGATGATTTTTCTACTGTACCGAGCACGGGACTGTCCTATGTTTGTTTGCTTGTGGTCGGTCCGTCCTCGTCGAGCTCGTGTCCATACATGGAGCAAGCTATACGACCAGGCGCGCACCTGTTAACGCATACACTGCCGGAGGGGCAGATGTCATTACAATTGGGATATCTGCGTGTATGCGGTGTCTGCAATCCGGGGGGATAAGTTGAGACCGGCGAACGCCTAACCTTCACTACGTATTGTCGTCGACGACGTGCAAAACAAAAATGAAACGGCAGCGGATCACCGACGAACAGACCGACCAACTTGCTCAAGGAACTGCTGCGTACGGCAAAGATCGCGCTCTCCGTATCTGTTCTAGATTTTTAGACTAGACTAATACGTGAACCAAAAAGTTCTGCATCCGTTACACGTACGTACAGCGACTGCCAGCAGCTCCCTTGGCTTCATTGGGCTGGCTTCGTTCTTCGTCGCTGGTGAATACTCTGTCTGCTGTTTTGGCGTTTTGGCGTCCCTCGACGGTGGGCAGACCTGAGTCCCTCGACACCGTCATCTATAGCAGGCACCGATCGAGACGGCTGCTACGATGGTGAACGACGGTACTCGTCTGCCGGCACATATTCAGACTCCCCCTCCTCGTCAGCAACGCTTCCGGCCGGCGGCGTTGCTGACTGCCTTATACCTGGGCACTCTTTTGTTCTTGCTCTGCGAGCACGTTGCTCAACCTGTCTCAGCTGTGAACCTGCGATCTTCGCAAAATCCACAAGCGGCGGCGGAGGGGCCATCCGCCGAGAACGGGGTAGCAGGAAACGAGCAGTGGGTTCTCAGACGGCTCATTGTACCCGGGGAGCGCCTTCGCAACCAAAGGGTTAAGGGCACCGGCAGCAGTAGCGTATCACCGGACTTCGGCGAGTGCATGTTGCTTTTTGGAGCGTTTTGCAACGGTGAGAGCGACAGCAGTGCCCACCTAAATGTACACTTGGTCATCACGCACAGCAGCCAGTAGGAATGTAGGAATGCACACCTGAAATATCTTTTCAAAATAGTTCTGAAACCTTTCTATGGCTTCAAAGACACCATTATCGAACACCTGCAGAGGCGCGATTGGTACTCTCGTGGCCCGTTGTCCTCCTCGAGACGTGACAAACACCGACGCTGGGAGAGGCGCATCCGACAATTAACTCTTCTTGCGAGAAGTGGCTTTCGTCTTACGCCCACACGCTGCGTCCTTGGCGATACCCCACTAACATCCATTTCCACCCGTCAAGATGCAGGACACTCTGTTATGTACGGGACATACCCAAAGAGGAAGTACATATTACAGACCTCTGTGTAGACTGCGTAGTCTATACATGAATGCGGACTGTTTACCCCGAGGAGCGTACGACCGTTTCGCACCCTACCTCAATTTACCTTGACTCCCTGTAGGCAACATGGGCGACGTGATCCAGCCAATGGCGATGGAGCACCTTCTCGCTTCCGTTGCCCCGGACCAGTGTTTTTGGTACGCCCACCCCGGGGAAGAGGGCATTGACCAAGGAGACCGCATTGGAGAGTTCTTCAGCGATAACATCAGCGGTGACTCGTCGCGGTTAATCCACCTTACACCTGGCGACGCGGAAAAGGTAGAGACAACTAGACTAAGCAGCTGGAGTTGTTCACCTCTTCACGTGCTGTCCTTCGCACCTGTGTCCTTTGTAGCCTCGTGTTCTACTGTACTGTGAATTTGATGCAGGAATACGATTAACCACCGCAACACCCGAGGGTGGTATGCGGTTCGGTCAGCACCATGACACCCACCCGCAGGTTTGTGTGCTGGAGTTGAAAAAAACTATGCATACTGGTATGTAGTACAGTACGCAAACGTAAAATCGCGGCAAGCGTGTACTGACAAGACGATACCATCGAACCCTCGTGCCATTACAATTGTAACCCTCGTACCAACCAATGCACCAGGTTAACGTCTTCAAGGCCCTCATCATCGGCGGAGGCGGAATTTTTGCGGCCAAGCACGCCCCCCTTGACGTGGACGCCTTCGCGGATCGTCTCACTCTGCCGATCGTCATCATGGGTGTTGGGGCTAGCAGGTGAATGGTACCGGCGGCACGGCAGCACACGTGTGTGTTCTCACCGTGGAAACACAGACCCAG